CAAAGTCTGTCCAGAGTTAGACTCGAGTTAAGAAACCTCTGTGCGCAGAAAATTTTCAAGTCTTTTGGGTTTGACAGCAATTCTTGAAAAATCACCCATTTTATCACTTTTTTGCTCCATTTCCCTACAATCGGTACCAAATACCAAATATAAATAGAATCTAACAATTACAATAATATTTGGCTAAAATTAATGAAAAACTATCCATAAATACCTCAACAAAATACACCTTATCAATTTCCCCCACACCTAATCCATACTTATCCTCAAGTATGAGAGCAACAAATAAAAAATTCGAGTTCAAACAATGGCTATCACTTAAATCATCTATTGTCAAGGTATACTTAAAACACACATCCAGCATTAGTAATTAGGTTCCAAGAAATATCTCTCCAATTAATTTTTAAAATCAAGGACTTTTCAATTCTTGACTAACTAATCTAAGAGTATAAAATATTCAACCAGCATTCATCAGCAAATAGTTCAACTATTAAGCAAAATTTCAATATTAAAACTCATGGATCAACAGGCTAGCATAATCATTCATATTCTTGTACATTTTTTTCATTTTTTCACTATTGGTACAACTTCCTTTTCAAAGATATTCCCCATACTTTGCTTCTTTTTTTATTTTTTTTCAAGGAAAATGTTTAGTCCTTAATCATTCAAATCTTTTGACGCAGATTCTGATATCTACCAAATGAAGGATGTGACAGCCCCACCTCACCCTAAGGCGAACTAAAGGGTTCGGCGGACCACCTACCCAACTCTCACCGGGACTCACTCATTCACTACAGTTCTCAATTTAATTATGGAATAAAACCACAAGAATAAGTATAACTTCGATTCGAAACTTAAAGCGAAACTTATGTACAATTCTATCTCAAAAGGAGTACAGACTCAAATATACAAAGGTTCTCAATTCTGCATACATCCAGCCCGTGCCAAGCACTACGGCGAGAACCATTACAAAATTTCAAGAAACTAGTCTATACCGAGCTCTCGTCCTGACTCGCCTTCTCCTGTTAAGGAAAACAAAACTAAAGGAATGAGTTAAAAACTCAGTGAGGTTCCGAACACATAATCAAACAATCAATCCAATACATTAAACATAGAGTAACAATAATTCAAGAAACATTTACAATGGAAAGCGATAATAACACATACATTAAAAGGATACGGGCTCACAGGGAGCCATTTATTCGTTCGTTCGTGCGTTTTCCTGTCATTCCCCTTATTCCTCCAATCATTTGAAAATACATTTTTGCAAGTAAAACCCTCGTTCATTAATTCATTTCATTCACCCCCTCCTGGATGTTGGCCAGGCTCCACCCGACAACAAGGTAATACTCGAGTATACCAAACGTTCACCCAAGGTCACCATATCGCCCGACCGAATCCACTTCTGGCTCGAGTCGACAGGTAACAAAGGGCAAGGGCCCAGTTCAGCCAAACGGCTTACATTTATGTGCAACTAGCATTTAATCATTTAATCATTGAAAATTTCACATTTATTTAGGTCGAGTGCGATAAAGTACACACTCGCCTAGAAAACTCGTTTTGGAAATCATTGAAAGCACTTAACACATTATCAAACAGCAACAACAAGCCATGAAATCAAGGAAAATATAACAAACAAGGAACACTCACCTATTTACGCAAAATAATGTCCAAAGTGTTCTTCCGAGTATTACCCCTAATCACCAAGGAACCCTAATAGTAATCAAAAGAACACATTATGTTTCAACCATCAAAACCTAAGAGATTCAAAGAGAATCCGAATACGTACTAGTGCAATACATAAATAAGAGTTTTAAGGTGAAAAGTGTATATTTAGATTAGAGGACATTAGTAACTAAGAGTTTTCCCAAATCAAACACAAAACCATACCAAAAAGGTTTTTAGAAAATTCCATTGAAAATAAATTAATAGTGCCACTTCAAAATACGGCTGGATATGAAAAGACAGTTGTTCCAATTTTCGTAAAGCTCTTCGTTTGGTTCGAAACTAACTCGTATGCAAAGAAATAACGTATAACAAGTGTCTTGGGTAAAATCATATGAAAAGGAAGCTAAACAAACCCTAATAACAACCAAGAGAAAATATTACAGGTAAATCCTCAAAGTTTAGGTGAACCAAAGAAAATCCAAATAATTACTTGTACAAAGTATAAATATAGTTTTGGAAGTGAAAGGAGTACATCTCCCTAGCCCTCTAGTGCAAATTTGGGTAGTACGCCCTTTGTATTTACCTAGTTTTCAGTCATTTATGACTCCATTCTTTTCCTCAATCAATCCCACAGTTACACACAAAATAATTCTCCGTTCAATAGCCATTCAATAGGCTCAAGTCACACAAGTACAAAATCAAGCTAAGGACATGTGCGGAAATGAAAGACAGATTTGATGTTGTTTTACATAACGGACACAACCGAAGCTACGCTTATCGGATTGAGGTACGATTTATACCGTTTTGAAGCTAAGGCAGAGAGCTACAACTTTTATGAAGACCACCTAGTCCAGTTCGTAGTGTACCTAGGTCAAAATTTGAAATTACTGAACCAGAATCGCACAAACAAGTCAGTTAACCGTGCTATGTTGAAACGACAATAACTTAGGCTACCGAAGTCCAATCGAAGTGATTACAGGGGCATTGGAAAGCTAAGCCATAGCACTAAAACTTTCATGTTTTGGTTAAATACTAATTCAGTACTCATCAGGGTGAACAGGCACAGTCAAATTGGTGAAATGTCAAAACTGGCCCTAAAGTTCAACCTAGGGCAGTTTCAGGGGTAATTTTGTCTTTTCACGAGATACAGTACTCCGATTGAGCTAAAATTTTGTAGGAAGCTATAAAACATTATTCCCTACAACTTTTATATTTTGTGCTAAGACTGATTCGGTCTCTAACATACTCAAACAGAAACGGGCAGAACTGAACCATAAGAAATCTCAATTCTGGAATTTCAAGAATTTAATGTGCAACTTCACATTTCTAGCTTAAAACCACTACTACTACCTCCTATACAAGCCTACATACACCATATACCATCCAAACAACCATCATTCCAACAACCAAAGCTGAATTTTTTTACACTATAGAGCTGGAATTTACCAAAACTAATACTAAAACCATGAAAGTTACCTAACAAGCCATAACTTTCACTTGTAAACCAATAAGTAGCACAACCATGAAATAATACCATCCTTACCTAGAATTGGAGAAGCACAACAGCCATAGGAAGCTTGAACCACCAAAACTCTCCACTCCAAGATGATAATCCACCCTTCTAAGCAACTTCTATGGATTATTTGGTGAATCTATCGGTTAGTTTGCAAGATTGAGCAAGAAAGCAAGCTTGAATGAAGTGGTTTCTTTCTCTCTTTTTCCTCTCTAAATTTCGTGCACAATGAAGCTTAGAAGACAGAAATTGAGCTCCAAGAAAAGGATAAGAAGCTTAGACTTGAGTTGGTCAAAAATGGGTGGATGCTTGCCAAGTGTCATCACAAGATTACATCTCACTTTTTTTTCTTTCTTCTTGTTTTCTAGGTCAAATATTGTGGCTGATGTATGAGATATTTTGAGGGTTAATTAGTTGAAATAAAATGAGAAGATTAAGGTAATAAAGTATGGGTCAAGTGGTGTGTTTACCCGGTAACAAACGGTACCCGTCGGTTCTAGCCATTTTCCCTTAAATTGCGTATACTAGGGTTTTAACTTATAATTCACTAACTTATTATTATCACCTCTAATCCCATACTTAATATCATCTAAAACTCACTTTTAATCACCAAATTTGATCCACACTTCGTGTCGGATAGTCACACTACGGATAGACGTAAAAACCCTAATTCGTGCTAACTTGAAATCGAAAAGTGAAACCCTACTTTCTAGGTTCATTTGCACTTATTGTGGGGTGATTGAGTAGTAGGGCTATTATAAAGTAATAATTTCCAAATAAAAGGGATTTTAAGAAAAAATATAAGGAAATTTTTTCAATCGCCACAAAGGAGCTCGATTACTCGCCTCTAATCACTTAAAGACCACAAACTCATAACTATCGTTACTTTTTTATACGAAAATTGATACTTGTGGTGAAAATCTCTGATTACTAGGCAGTGATAATCAATAGAGTGTACGATTCACAATTAAGTGCAAAATACAATTAAAGACCACAATCCCACTTCATTTTTCAAACATGAAGAACTAAAATTAATACCTGAACCAATTTACATGAAAAATGTCAGAAAAATATTTACAACGTCTAGAAAAATTAACTAAAATTTGTAAAAATTACAAAATCTCAACTATTCACCAGAAAGAAGCCCTTAGAGCTGACCACATCATACTTGACCCATTAGCATATAAAAGCTTAACAATAAAGAATTTGAAACATTTGTTAAAGTGGTTTTGTCCTATATCGGCTTTTGTATAAGGGAACATTTCCCTTAGTTGCTTATAAATATAGTGGCTTGTGATGGATTAAGTGCATCAAATCAAGAAAGTTTTAGTGGGCTATTTGAGTCTTTTGAGTCATTAAGTCTTTTGTTTAGTAAAATATTTTAGTCTCTCTTGTGTTTTAAATATTAGATGTTTTGGGTCTAGAAATACTTTTGTGAGAACTCGAGAAAATCATGTGTGTGCTTTGCATTTATTTTATTTTATTTACCTTGATATTGGAAATATTATATATAACGAATAAATGGTTAAATTAAATGCCTAATTGAATCCCTATAAAATTGAGAATTTAGAAAATATCCTAAGATGGTGTGAGAAAATTCTTATAGTGGTATGCAAATTGGAACAAACTAAAGTTTGAGGCAATATTTGAAGATGATAAAATTTCAACTCCTTAGCAAGTAAATAAAGTAATGTCAAAAGACCATTTTAACCTGCAACTGAATTGATCATTCTCGAATAAGCATAAGACCGAACAGAGGATTAAAATTCGGTGGATTCCAGTTGGTATCAATTTGCTAAGAGCAAAAGAAGAACAACCGAGAGCAAAGTGAGGACTTAGCTCATTTTCTTGCCTGACTTCAAGACCAACCGAGAAAGTGAGAGAGAGAGATTTCTGGTTCCATTCTTTCCTTTCCAGCCACAACTGAGTGAATAAGAGGGCAAGGTAGAAAAAAGAGGGAAGCTTGGGAGCATTTCACCATAAGGAATCGAAGGAGGAGAAGGAGGAAGGGGACTGCTTGCTTTTTTCTTCTTTTCCAGCTTTGATTGTGAGGAAAAAGGGAGGTAAAATCATCATAACCATCTTATTCTTCTAATATCTCTGATTATTCAAGTTGCATGTTAGATTTTAGCTTAGAAAAGTGAGTTTGGTTGAAGAAATCTTAATTAATGATTGACCATTTGCTGGAAAGAAAATTCTGCTATGGCCGAGGAAAAGAGCAGGTTTGCAGCTTAGTATTCGAATTTATGGAGGAAATTTTCTTCTAGGAGTTAAGCTATATGTTTACTCTCTTGTTTTATCTGAGAATCCAGAGCAAAGATGATAGTTGAGTGAGAATTTTTGCAAGAATTAACTGGTGGTTCTGTCTAGCTAGCCGAGAGATGAAGAAAGAAAATTTTCCAGATTTCTTGACAGATTTCTGGGTTCCAATTTCCTTCGTTGAAGCTGAACACCTTGCATAATCTTTTAGTTTTAGCATGCATGTTTTCACTTCAGTGTTTAGGTGATTGCATGTTAGATTGGAGTAGGAAATGAAGTAGTTAATGAGAGAGTTCTTGCTTAAAAGCTGATTGTTATACAAAATATTGTTCCAGCATGACCGAGAGAGAGAAATACACTTTAGATCAGCTTTTTCTTTGAAATTTTGGCTGTAAATTTTTATATTGATGATCAAGATTACTCTGTAGCTGGAGAATCATCTTTAATATGATGAGCTGGAGTTAAAACTGAAGAAGTTATGGTAAATGTTGCATATTAAACTGCTACTCTGCTGGAAACTTTAGTTATACAATGCCATAGCTGATGACAGATTGTTGTGCGTAGCTTTTGGGTTGAATAATTTGTTAAAACTAGATGCTATTTGCCTTGGTATATGCTGGACTGAATGTACTTCAAATATTTAGAGCTTTAAGCAAGTGAAAGAATAGAGTTTTCGTCGAAAGCTTGAAGTGACGTTACTAGTTTTGGTTGCTGTCCGAGAAAATGAAACAGATTGTGCTTCTAACCATCCCCTTTTGGCCTTGAAAACACGATAACTGGATGTCGATGTCTTCAGAAGAAATATAGGTCTATGTCTTAGCTTCGAAACGCTATAAAATTTACCTCAATCCGATAAGTATAGCTCCAGTTATGCTCAGAATACCTGAGGATGGCAAAGCTGCCTTTCTCCTTGCCTTTCCTTTTGTTCCCGAATGCACTTTGCTTTGATAATGGCCGTGAGGAACCAACTTTGAACCAGTATTTCCTCTAATTTCCAACTTCGCAAGCTTTCATAAATGGTAGCTACGGTTACCCTGAGATTTAATGGCTATATACAGCTCCACAAGTAGAGTTAAACTAAAGCAAAAGAGAGGAAAACTCAGGATAATTATGTACCTAAATTGGCTTCTAATTACTTAATATTGTCTTCACAAATATTTTAAAGACTATAAAATTTGAGGGCCTGGTTTAGTAGAATAAAATTCAACTTACAAATAACCTAGAGTTTAATTAATTAAAAAGGGGGACCAATGAAGTACTCCTAAACCATAATTTTAGAATCTTGAATGAACAATGATTTAATTCTAAAATAAATATCTTCTAAATTATTAACTTGGGAAAATAGGTATAATTCTTGATTAAAACAATAAATTCAATAAGTTTCAACATAAAATGATAAATGAATATTGAATATATTATATTTGTACTTGAAAGTCAAACTAGAATCTGTTTTAGCCTAGACGGAAGAAATGAAACGTTTGCTTGTCTTAATCTTTGCACATTAGATTGGAAATGAGTGATTCTTAGCTCAAGTATTTTATATGATATTAAAATTTGGTGTATATATACATTAACCTTGTTTTAAAGCTACCAAACTTAATAATCTTGAAGACAAACGTAAGGAAGGTTTGCGAGATTTTGGTGATTCGTTTTATAAGCTTAGGAACTTGGATTTTAGTTACTTAAACCTTAAAGTATGTAAGATTAGTGGTTGTATATAAAATGAATATTCACTTTAGAATTATTAACTTGTACCAGGAAGTAGCCGTGAACCAGGAAACCAACTCGAGACTCAAGAATAGTCATTTGAACCTTTGGTGAGTGTTTTCCGAATTTATGTGTTAAACTGCTTATGTGTACCTAAGTGCAATTATATGGCAAATGTACTTATTATGAAATATTGCTAAGTAATTCACTGTGAAGTGTTTTCAATTATCCCTCGCCTTCTAAGTCGAGAGTGTACTTTATCATACTCGACTTAGTTGAGCTTGAAGGTTGATAATTGATCAAGTGATATTATAAGTGTGCATGATTGTAAGCCATGTGTGTACTTTATCACACTGGCTGAACTGAGCCCCAAAACCCTCTGTTCAACGGACTATTCGAGCCAGCAAAGGGCTTAGTCGGGTAGGACGGTAGCTTTGGGTAAGTGTTCGGTATACTAGAGTATTACCACGGAGTAGCATATTACTGATATTGGTATGGTCATCCAAGTGAGGGAAGTGTTTATTATTTTGGAGGTTATAAGGAGGAGTTCGGTGGAGTGTGTAGTGCATTGAAATGGATCTAATGCGAGCACCGTACCCTTTTAAAAGTGATTGTACGGTGAAATGTGCACTACTTGCTTAATTGTACTGATTTAAGTGCTTATTGATTGTTGCTTGCATGGAAACCTCACGGGCGTAAGCTCACCCTTTTAGTTTTGTTTTCCTTACAGGAGTTGGAGATTGAAAAGTGATTGGATGAAATTGAAAAGTTGTTTTGGAAAAATCCATCACTATGTGTATATATTGGAGTCACGTTTTCTTTTGTATTTTAAGATGGTTGAATTTTCTGTTTTGAGTTGATGTAATATTAAGAATAGATGTTTAGAACGTGTATTTTGTTTCTTTTAGTGGACAAATCTATGTTTCAAGCTGATTAGAGTGGTACTTAAGAGTGAATGTTCAGTTGTTCAATAATAATGTTATATCTGAAGTTAATATAAGTGAGCGAGTCCTGACGAGAGACAGGCAGGCGATCCGCTAACTTCTAGGGTAGGCCCTAGGAGAAGATGGAGTCGTCACAACTTTCCTATGATATTTTTGTACTCTGTTATTCATAGTAAAATATTGCTCCACCTCTACCCGTAGATGTAGGTCAATTTGACCAAATCACGTAAATTCTTGTGTTCTTGTTTTATTTATTTTTGCTCTTTTATTTGTCTTTTTGGGATTATCAAAAATTCTATTGTCAATTTCTTGGGGCAAGACCTAATAAACTGGTATGAGAGATTCTTTGAAAGTTTTAAATTTTATGGCAATAATGACAATAACAAAAACTATTGTCGAGAAATTTGATAGAAATATCAATTTCGGAATGTGGCAGTTCAAGATGGGGGATATTTTGTTCAAGACGGACTTGATTTAGCAATACAAAAAATTGAAAACAAGCCAGAAAGTTTGACAGATGCAAAATTTACTGAGATGGATAAGAAGGCAAGGTCCAATATTATTTTATATCCACTGAAAATTTGACAAAAGTCATGTGGAATAAGTTTAAGGCCTTGTATATAAAGAAGATAATTGAGAATTGGGTTTATTTAAAACAATGTAGGTATATGCTTCGCATGACTGAAGGTACATCTATACTCTCACATCTTGATAAATTTGATTTCATTATTATGGATTTGGAGAATATAAATTTGAAAGTCAAGCGGAAGGTCTGGTTGTTAGGGACAGAACCGAGAAAAAAAATTTGACAATAATAGATCTAAATCTAGACATAGAAATTTGAAATGTAATTATTGTCATAAAATAGGCCACATTAAGACAAATTGTTTTAAATTAAAAAATAGATTGAAACAAAAGGAAAAACTTGATGAAAAAAATATTGAGACTGCCGAAAATAATATTGCAGCTGATGAGAATAAAGAAAATATTTTCTTTATGACTAATGACAGGACAAGACCTAAAAATAAATATATTTTAGATTCGGAGTGCTCTTATTACATGTGTCCCAATAGATATTTATTTTTCACTTATGAATCTTGTAATGGTGAAATTGTTTTGATGGGTAATAATATTGTTTGTAATATTGTTGGTAAGGATACAATCCAAATTAAAATACATCATGGTATTGTGAGGACGCTTACTAATGTTAGACATATTCTCGATTTGAAAAAGAATCTCATCTCTTTGGGTATCCTGGAGGCTCTTAGGTGCAAATACACGATGAAAATGGCGTTATAAAGGTTTCTAAACGTGCTCTCGTTGTAATGAAAACTTGCGGGGTTAATAGTTTATATAGTTTACAGGGATCTACTGGCACAGACTCGACTGCAATTAAGTCATCATCATCTTTATCTGATTCTGATATTACTAAATTATGGCATATGCATTTGGGATATATGAGCGGGAAAAGTTTGGACATACTAAGTAAGAGGGGACTTCTTTGTGGTTAAAATACTGGATCATTGAAATTCTACGAACACTGTATCTTTGGAAAGCAAAAAAGAGTTAACTTCAATTCTCTAGCAATTTGTCGCGCCCCATTTTTTCGCGATGGAAAAAAATTGTATTTTATAAAAGATGTGATTTTTATAAAAATAAGTGAAAAAGGACCTAAAATGAGACTTTAAAAAATGCGACAATTTGGGTCTAAAATTTAGTCTAAAACAGGTTTTTAAGAAAAATTAGGAGTTGCCACTTGGTATTGAGTTTTGGTGTACCAAATTACCAAAAAATATTTTTTAACAAAAATAAAATAAAATAAAACCCTTTTAGACAATTTCAGATCTTTGAAAACAAGAAAAAATGAATTCGAAAGTCACAGTTGAAGAAAGGGAAGACAAATGTTCAATTTATTCAAACCTAAGGCACCCTTTCAATCTAATCTAAGCTAGTTGCGTTGTTTAGTCAAAATTTTCTTAATCTAACTCTTAAATTTATCACATTTGGATGTTTGCTATATGGATGCAAATAAAAATGTCAAGAGGGGCAAAATGTCCATTCAAGGTTTAATTGATACCAATCGCATTGATTGCGAAAGGCAAAATAATTCCTTGAAGGGGTCACGAGTATGCAAATGATGAAATTAAAAGAGAAGAAAAAGAAAATTAAATTATATATTTAGATATAAATGGTCAAAGAATAGAGATACAGCATAATGGGTACGGGAGGCAAAAACTCGTGACATAATTTTCTTATACAAAGATTAATGGGGTATTTAAACTAAAAAGTTATAATCATCCATTTCCCATGTTTGAAGAATAATTCTCCTAATATAGACAAGCAAATGAACTAATTTAAATGAGATGCAATTCTAAATGATATGATTAACACATATAAAGGATAAGAGATAATATAATAGGCAATATCATGCAAATGAGAAAATATCCTAAAAATAAAAAAAAATATGCATAAAAATGTAACGAATGTCATACAAAGATGAATCTAACATAGGAACGATCTAAGGGTCTAGCGTTGGACTAGCCCATTTCTAAAAATCCTTACTAGCATTGGACTAGCAAGTAAACAGAGGGAGAAACCACAACTAACCTTGGACTAGTGTGGTGACGTCATGTATTAATAATATATAGTAAAACAAATGAAACATAAATTAAAACAAATAAACACAAAAGAGCACGTAGCACATAACACGTAAGCATGATATCTAGATACAAAGATCCTAAGAAGGCGAGTAAACACATAAACACACGGGCATGCAAACACAAACAAATAAAAGCGCATAAAGACCTGACTATTACATTCGGGGCCCTAACTACAATTTAAAGGGGTAAAGAATGAAAAATAATAATCTAACTATTACAATTTGGCATTTGAATGCCTCTCAAATAATCAGAAATTAAATTAAAGTAAATATACAAAATTAAAACAAATAAAATGAATGATTAAATAAAATAAAATAAAAACATTCAGAAACATGCAATTGCACACATAAAATCATATAGGAGCACATAGGAGAATTTAAAATGACACAAGAAGATACCTCCCTTGACGTAGTAGCTAATGGGGAATAGGATTTGCCCTATTTAACTTCAAAATTAACAGAATCATCAAGGCACCAATTTAATTAACAAATAAATCATAAAAAATGAAAATAACATGAAATCTATCAATTGAAGTATTCAAATGAAATATAATTAATAATCTAAGAAGAAAAGTAGCTTCTATTTAAGAAATCAAATCTGTCAGGGATCTAATTATAAATATTAATAAAGTTTTGGGGTCAAATTATAATTACTACAAAATTTTGGGATCCAAATTACAAAAAAATAAAGTCTAGGGACCTATTTTGTAATTAATTAATGACCTAATTGAAAGAAATCTAAGGCATTTAAGGTCACAATATAATAAAGTAAAAGTACAAGGACCAAACAGCAAATTCATTTCTGGTTTTTCCTAACCCAATAGGCCACTTGGGCCATTTTATTTATTTCTTTGGACCGAAGCTCCCTAGCCCAACTGAAACCCAAAGGAGAGGAGCGGGCTACGCCTAGCTCTTTTATCCAACAAACCCAATGAAAAAGAGTGAGCTTCAATTCCCAAACCCATACTAAAATCCATAAAAGTAAGCCAAGACCCACTTCCTAAAACCCAACAAAATGAACCAGATTTTATACCAAAACCCAACCAAACAAACCTCAACCCACAAAACTCTGATTATTTCATTAAAACCCAATAAGACAACAAATTCACTAAAACAAATTAAGGTTTAATTATAGCTCCCAAAAACAACATGCTTAGAAATACACTTAAAATATGAAAAGAAGATGAAAACTCAATAGAGACATGACTGGTTCAATTACAAAAGCTTTGGGGCCATAATGTAATTATTTGAAAGTTAGGGGGCTAAACTGCAAAATTTTCAGATTATCATGCAAAGCTTCCGAAATCATCTTCTGCAACTTTCTCCTACAACATTCTGTCAGCGGTAATGGCTACCGCTGACGGTGCCTCCGGTTACTGATCGCCAACAATTTTTTCGGTTATCAAATTTCACAAAAATAGACACCTCAACTCGATTTTTTGCGTAGATCCCATTTTTTAACTTAGTTTTTACAAAAAATGAATCAAAAGTGGCGAAATTGCCAAAACAGTCTGATTTTTTATTATTTTTTTTAAAACACTATAATCACTACTAAAAATCATAAAAATTATAGTACAACATTCATTACAACTTCATCAATGCAACTATGATTTTAATTTGATAAGAAAACAACATGAAAGGGCTAAAATAAGGCAAAACAGCCCCTAAAATTCTTTTTATCCATTTTGCCATATTTTCTCAAACATTTATTTCCTTTTCCCTTAATCTAGTTTATAACTTATCCCACAAGACAATAATAACAAGACCAGCAAAAGAAAAAACATAAAAACAGCCAAACATGCATTAAATCTAGTTAATTAAGAAAGAAAGAAAGAAAACTAGAAAAATAAAAAGAAAGAAATATCTTCTCTTGGCCGAGGCTTTGATGCAATTTTTAGCTCCAATTGTCCAGTTGTTGCCTTCCTTTTTGTTGTGCAAATGTGTTGTCCAGTTGCCAGCCTTGTTTTTCTTCTCCTGTCTTTTCTTTCTCCTGTCCGATGACGAGAGAAGGAGCCAGTGGAGACCAAGGACTTATGTAGCAAATTTGGAGAACCCCTTTCATTTTGTCTGATGCCTTGGAGAGAGCCGAGAGGGAGAGTTTTTTTTTTCGGTTGAGAGCTCTAACCGAGAGAGAAAGGAGTGGAGGAGTGGAGTCAAAAGAGCGAAGTTGAGAGAGATTTTTTTTCTTCTTTGTGTTTTTATCAATGTTTTAAAACCCGGACCGTCAATTGAACCGGTGAAGTGAAAGGGTTGATGTTCAACCGGTCGGACCGGTCCAACCCCGGTTCAATAAATTTTTAAAAAAATAATTTATATAAATATATATATACACAAAATAAGACATGCAATAGACTAATTTAAAACTTTATATGATGAAAAGTTTACTATTTTTGAATAACTTGGATTTTCAAAAATAATTTTTTTAAATTATAAGTTAAAACAAATAAATTTCATTTCAATTTCAATTATATCTACCAAAATAATCTTAAATCCAACCCAAAAATATCACAATATTGT